ACAGCACAATTACAGACGAGACGAGAGCTGCACTCTTTGCATGTGATAATGAAGCCACTGGGAGAAAGAAAGAGGAAGAGAGGTGAGGTGAGACGACGATTGGCCACCGACCAAGAAGAAGGAGGTAGATAGACGCGTCCGAAGACGAGAGAGACGATCTGAAGCTTAGCTGAGAAGATCAGAAAACACTTAGAAACTCAGATGTTGAAGTGTTACATGACGAATATAGAAACTGATGCTATAGTTTTGTGAGTCTTCACGTATTTTTCATGTTTTTTTTTTTAGTGCTTTATTTGAGAGCAGTGCAGTGATGGTGTCTTTCTCCTCCTCCAGATAAAGTTAACATGCATATTACACATATGTGTCCCTGCAGCACAAAGCAGTCATAAGCATATTTGTAGCAATAGCCAACAATACATTGTATGGGTCACAATTATACATTTCTCTTTTATGCCAAAAATCATTAGGATATTAAGTAAAGATCATGTTCCTTGAAGATATTTAGTAAATCTCCTACCGTAAATATATCAAAACTTAATGTTTGATTAGTAATATGCATTGCTAAGAACTTCATTTGAACAACTTTAAAGATGATTTTCTCAATATTTAGATTTTTTTGCACCCTCAGATTCCAGATTTTCGAATAGTTGTATCTCAGCCAAATATTGTTCTATCCTAACAAACCATACATCAATGGAAAGCTATTTATTCAGCTTTCAGATGATGCATAACTCTCAATTTCAAAAAATTGACCCTTATGACTGGTTTTGTGCTCCAGAGTCACATGTTGCTAACTAAAGGTTTACTACAGTTATATTGAGCTTATATTGAATGTTCATTTTAATCCATATTATTTTTTTAGTGGAATCAGATATATATGTATACTATAAACTATCCTCTTTAATAAATGTATTACTTACACTATTATAGTTTTTATTAATATTTTGTATACTATTTTTTTTTGTAATATACACTTTACTTTTATGGCACCTTTAAAAGCACTTTGCAAAAAAAAAAGCATTGAAATATAAAAAAAACCAAGAAAACATTTCTTGCTGCGCTTGTTATTTTTCTTGTTTTATTGTTAATATTACTATTTAAGCTTCATTTATTTCCGTTTTAGTTTTTATTTATTTCCATTTTCCAGTTTATTTTCAGTCATTTTAGTGCTAAAACATAAGTGTCTTTCAGTTGGTTTCCAAGGCAACATTTCTATTTTTTCACATATCTAATATGTGCATTTTATTTCAGCTGTAACAATTTTAAAGATAGTTTTAGTTAACGGTAATAACCCTAATTTCTCAAATAAAGCAACAAACAGCATATTTATAATCAGGCAAAAAAACTATTTTCATCAACAGTTTACTCTACACATACAGTCTGAAGCAAAGCATGCTGGGAACCAGAAATCTGCCGCTCAAATTCAGTTCATGCTGTCAAAAAGACAAATGCATTAATTGCATATTTCACAAATTTAAATGCATTTCAAGCTTGTGATAAAACGGTTACGAGCTGTGCTGCATTCGCTCATTTTAATCACATTTAATTGCTCTTTTTGTCATCAGTTTGAAGAAACTATTATCCATTTGTTTATTGCAAAGCATTTTAGGTTGACTTTTCAAACTTTATGAAGAAGAAAATATTCAAATGTCTGTATAAGCCAAAAAAATGCATGACTCTGAAATTCTTACTTTAAGTTTACAACAATTTCTGGCCAAATTTACATGCATAAATGTAAATTTTCAAAGATAATTCCTTCTTTTTTATTTCCAAGAAAGATATTGATGTATGTTTGAATTGCATTTGTCAGATTTATCCGTATATTTGTATACTTATCTTACTAAATGTTATTTTATCTTGCATAATAATAATAATTAATAGTAAATATTTATTGTTTCGAGTGACAAAACATTTTGTTTGGGACACACATGATTGGCTCCGCCCACAGTCAGCTCTCATTGGTCCAGAATCCTGTTCCACATGACCATATATAGAACACAACAGTGACAGTGAACCACTGCATTTGACGTCATTGAGTCTACAAACACTCAACAAATACCTTATAGTTGTAAATATTCAATGTTTCTCAATTGTATAAATTTAGTTATATTTGATTCTTATAAGAAATGGCTTAAAACAACTAGTTTTATTTTATATCAAATATATATTAATTTATTCATGAGCGAATTTAAGTGTACAGTCACTGTTGTGCTCTATGACACATTAGTCATTGGCTTTCAGCTTGGACAGATGAATTACTTCTAGTCGTGTCGCGCCTGGTTAGGACACGGTTTAAGTGAGACAAATCCACTGCCACGTCAATATGAAAACCACAGCGCAGGGCTTCCCCAATAATTCACTTTAATTGCAGCCTTCAGTCAACGGAGAGCCGTTTATTTACAGTATTCATTAACCTCAAGACACTGTCAATCGGCTGACACATCATCATTATAGGGAATAACTTTAAAACCACAAAACACAGCACTAACATCCGCTGAGATCCTTCAAAATCAATTTCCAACAAAATAGCACTGTTTTTAATGAATGCATGTTAAAACGCACATATGCATGACATCTTTAGCATGCATTAACCACACACAACCTGCAATCTAATAACACTCAGATGCATCACCTGTCAATCAGAGTGACACAACTGCACAATAAAAGGGCAAAAATATAGCCTGCATGTAAAAACATGCCCTTTAATAGCAACACAATATCCTCTTATCATATCAATCATCAAAGATGAGACATGAAATCCAGAAATAAAGGCACCACTCTGGCTGGAGTCAGTAATACGATTGCTTTTATCATTAATATGATGGATTACACAAGTAAGCGGGTGGGGTTTCAACGAGAGGGTGAGAAGAACCTCCTACTGATGCAACTTTTTTTTTTGAATACAGCTTTGTAAATTGGATCCATTTATTAGGAGAGGATAAGACAGCATTCATTTCACAACGCACTAACACACCGTTCCGCTGAGCACACTTATGACATGTGATGGGCCCTGAAAACCAGCTTAAATACGTGCAATTTCATACGCACAAGTTGCATTGTGGGAACAAACATCAAGAGATGGGCTTAAGAGCGAACCGCTGTAGATCTCAGCCTCTCGACACGCGCTGCCATAAAAATGTAGGCTAAAGTAAAATATGCTTTAATAATCATTCCACTTATAAAGCGTGAGGTATGGATCTTTGATGCCTAAAAATGAGTCACATTAAAAAATTAGATTATATTGAACAAATGTGGAGAAGAGAATAAAGACATTAATAAAGCGGAGCTGTGCAAGCATTACAGATTCGACTGTGATACATGACTGCGATTTGCTGTTGGGTCATTATGACATGATCACACTTACAGAGGGAAGTAATGGGATCATCAATAAGATGCTGCGTGCTTTATAAAGAAATGCACTCGCCCAACCCCAAAACTCACTCGCCTTTTTTCTCTGTGTGTGTGTGTGTGTGCGTGTGAGTCTGTGTGTGTGCGTGTGAGTGTGAGTGTGAGTGTGAGTGTGTGTGTGTGTGTGTGTGTGTGTGTGATTTAAGCAGCTGATTGTGTATTTGATTCCTCAGTGAATAACTGTGATGGTTTAAAGAAAAGTGATGATGAACCGGATCATAAACAGGAAAGCGTAGCCTTTTCGAGATAAAAAATGCTTTTTAAGTCTCCAGACAAGCAGCAAGTTGTCAGAAAGACTTGTTTTTGTTCACATCCGATGATGAAACTTCGTCATAAAATGTTTTATTTCAAGGTAAGCCATCAGAAAGCTGTTTTGCTGTCACATTAATGCTCTGATGTTATTATCAGCAGCAGGATTTTGTCGTTTCTAAACAGCTGCAAGGAAACTGTTCTCTTAAGCGTGATGCAGAAATGTGAAATTAAAACGCTGTATTCTTCACATCAGGCCACTGCAAAGCCAGCATGAAGTGAAGATGAGGGTCCGCGTCTGACAGCGATATGGGTGTAACTGCTCACATAGATGCCTGTTTATGAGAGACTTTCATATATATTACACTGACATAATTCTACATGAGTATAATCAGAGAAATTATATTTTAATTGAAGCGTTAAGTAGTATTTTCCAATATGTGCATATGGTATCAATTTAAAATTGCTTTCAAGAGACAGATGCACATCCCAACACCTCTAGCTCTATTTTCTCTAAAACACACACACACACACACACACACACACACACACATGCATGCACTTTAGATACAGTACGTGAATTAATATGTGACTCTGGAGCACAAAAGCAGTGTTAAGTCGCTGGGGGATATTTGTAGCAATAGCCAACAATACATTGTATGGGTCACAATTATACATTTCTCTTTTATGCCAAAAATCATTAGGATATTAAGTAAAGATCATGTTCTATGAAGATATTTTGTAAATGTCCTACCGTAAATATATCAAAACTTAATGTTTGATTAGTAATATGCATTGCTAAGAACTTCATTTGAACAACTTTAAAGATGATTTTCTCAATATTTAGATTTATTTGCACCCTCAGATTCCAGATTTTCAAATATTGTTCTATCCTAACAAACCATACATCAATGGAGAGCTTATTTATTCAGCTTCTAGATGATGATTGATCAATCTCAATTTCATAAAATTGACCCCTTTGACTGGTTTTATGCCCCAGGGTCACATATGTGATACTAGATTTGAATATTCAATACGCTATGTGAACCTATATCCTCATAATATTAAATTCACAGTAGATTTTTAAGAGCATTTCAGCTTTTCGAGCTCACCACCTGAAACTATAGCTACTGTGATTTTTCCGCTTTATGGTTATTTTTAATTTTTTTTATTTTGAAAGAACAGCGCAAAAACAATCACTTTACGCGCAAGTACTTTAACAAGTTCTGATTTGGAACGCAGCCCACACTGATCTGCAAGTTCACAGAGACGCTCGTTTTATCGTTGCGCCGTAATTTGTGTCACATTTCCAGATGCTAAACTCACAGAAACGTGCTTCATACCTTTCTCAGAATCCATTGGATGAACAGCAGAACGCTCCAGCAGAGCAGCCTCATCGTTCGCGAACACTAGTCCCGTTGAGCAAACATAAACCGGACACAAATCACCAAGCAGAAAACATCCGAGAGGAGCGAACTCTGTAACTGACTGCGAGCACAAACCAGCGCTCTCGGAGTTATTAAGGCAGCCAAGGAGGTTCAGCTCTTGAAGTCCTTGTCATTAGTGAAGCGCACATCCATTCGCAGGTTCACGGAGGTGAAAAGTTGGCGTGGGAACGGTGCAAACTTGTGCTGTCAGCTGGCGTTCTCGCCTAATGCCCTCATTACCGCGCCCGTTTGGTGTTTAAAAAAGAAACTGTGTTGCGTTCTCTCTCTCCCTCCGAAGCGCACGCTCAGTGTAGACTTTGCGTCTCGTTCTCTCTCTCTCTCGCTCGCGACGAACGTGCTAATTTCGATTTTAAACGCCAACAGGTCAAACAAGCTCCAGCGCGTCTTTTACGCGCACAGAACGGTGCCAAAAGTTGGCGTACCTACTTCTGATATTCCAAATGAATTTTGCATTCACTAAAAGTTTTCTTGAGTTATTCATCCACACGTGGATGTGCTATTATAGATGATATTCTTCAGAGATGCATAACTCGGCAAGAAAGCGAAACCTGTACAAATAGCATGAAAGAGATGAACAAATCTTCCCAAAGGCGATTTTAATTTCGAATGGCTTTAAAGTGCATCTTGTCTTATGTTGAAATATGAAACGTGCAATCTGTGCCGAGACATAATTCCGTTCGGAATAAATGCTTATTTTTTTTCTGGTCAATTCAACATCTTTAAAAAGCATCGCTTGCGCATAAACACACAAGCACAGGGAAAGAGAGAGAGGGAGAGAATGAGATGTGCAAAAGAGGCGAGTGGATCTTTCTGGCAATTTTTGAGACTACATGCCAGCAGAACGCACAATGTTAGGCAGGGAACAAAGGCGAGGATATGTTTAGTAACGAACACTAAAGCCTCAAAGTTTATGTCCATCATCGCACCTCTGATTGAGCTGCAGATGGAGAGCAATGAAGCCCTTCATCGCCCCCTTGCGAATGACTGACGGAAAACATCTAATGTAGACTTGCAACTATACCACACAGTCGGTCTGTTATACATTTACAGTACATTTAGTCATTTAGCAGACTTACAAGCAATCAAAATCAACAAAAGAGCAATGATATGCAAGTGCTATGACAAGTCTCAGTTAGCCTAACGCAGTACACGCAGCAAGGTTTTTTTTAATTAGCTATATAATAAATACAAAGAAAACAGATAGAACAGAAAAAGCATAGAGCAAGCTAGAGGCTTTTTTTGGTGCTTTTTGTTAATTGCATAATAAATAAAAAGATAACAAACAGAATACAAAAAGAATAGAGAAGCTAGTGTTTTTTTTAAAGAATAGAATTAGAATAGAGAGTGCTAGAGTGCTATACTATAAGATAAAATGATTAATCGAACCGAATGACCTTAAAAACTCAAAGGACAAAATGTAAAAGCATAGCCTACTAAAATATGCAACCTACACACTACTGACAAGCACACTAAAAATGTGACTGAAAATCCTCCAAACAACACACCCTGCTGAGAAACCCCCCCCCCAATAGAAGCCATAATAGAATTTGTAATGGTTTTACTGGTTATAATGGGACTTGTACTGGTTATAATGGAAACTGTAAACTGGAAACTGTCTCGGTCTCCTTGGTGGCGTGTTAAAACCACTCAATCCTAATGTACTGAAAAAAAATGATGCAACATTTTTTTGAAGGTAAGTGGTTGCAAACAATGTATTTGAGCTACATGTAAAAAAAAAATGTTGAAAGTAAATTATTTAAATGTAGCTCAAATAAATTGATTGCAACCACTTACCTTACATTTTTATTTAGTAAATTCACTTAATATTTTTTTTCCAGTGTGGAACGTGTCCTAAAACACACTACAGAAAACCTTTTTTTAAAATGGTTTTAATGATTAAAAGTTGGTGTGTAATGCTGTAAACCATTGTAATTTCTGTGATGGTTTCCATTGGTTTGTTTCAGCCGCGTTAAATGACAGCCTGGCGGGTTATACATAATTGAGAAAGAAAACGATTAATCGAACCGAATGACCTTAAAAACTCAAAGGACAAAATGTAAATACGCAACCTCCAGCGTCGCCTCCCCAACAACACACTTTCAGAATTCTACCACATTTTCTAAGTAAATTGCCTTCATGGATACATATTTTGGGGCCATCGAAATAAATGCTCCGTTGGTTTAGTTTCCATTGTGATCCCGCAGATGTGCAGTATTGAAGTTGGCAGGTGATTTTGGCGGGCTGCTAAAGCGCGCGCTTTCTATTTCTCGGAGAACCAAGCAAATGAATGAACATGGGTGGGAAAAAGGGGCTCAATTTTCTCACTTTCCACTTCGCCCTCTGTAAATCAACGCAACTCATTCTGGCACGACAAGAGGAGAGAGTTCGCCTCTATCACACGGTGTGTATGTGTACTAATGGACTATAACTTAATACTGAAGAGCAGAACGTTTCTGACACAAGCGATCGCCAATTGTGTGCGCATTTGCTTTTTAGCCTTTTAGCCAACAATAGAATAACTGTCAAGAAAATAAACACATAGTGTCTCGTCATATCCACCTTTTTCCTAACTAGACTACTTATGTGTTTTAAAATATGGGAGGCACTTCCGGTTTGGGAATGGGTGCAATTTTCTCACGTATCCACTCATCTTTCCACTTCGCCCTCTGTAAATCAACGCAACTCATTCTGGCACGACAAGAGGAGAGAGTTCGCCTCTATCACACGGTGTGTATGTGTACTAATGGACTATAACTTAATACTGAAGAGCAGAACGTTTCTGACACAAGCGATCGCCAATTGTGTGCGCATTTGTTTTTTAGCCTTTTAGCCAACAATAGAATAACTGTCAAGAAAATAAACATATAGTGTCTCGTCATATCCACCTTTTTCCTAACTAGACTACTTATGTGTTTTAAAATATGGGAGGCACTTCCGGTTTGGGAATTCTACTCAAAAAAGACCGCAACAAATCATTTCAAATCATAAGATTGCGCTACAAATAATCCTTATCCGTCATTTTGACTGAATGGGCTGTAAATTTCCATTCCTTTTCTATTTTCAGAATAGCATTACTTTTGGTATATTAATGTGACGTGATATAACAATGATATCTAAACGAATTTATGATGTTTCCTTTGTATTCCACCGTGAGTGAATGAAAAAAGACAACATATACTGTGCATTTGTAGTCTGCTCTCTCGATTTAATTCACTTTATAAACCACAAATAATAGAATACACTTAATTTTTCTCCCCCAAATCCTCACGTCTCTTTCCAGGTTTGTTTTCACATGCATGCTGTAAAGTGTAATTGTTGCGAAATATAGACATATATCGCTATAATGAAATTTATCACGTCTGTAATATTGCTGCGGGTAGAAGGAGGATCTTTAGGAGTTATTCGTGGTATGCTGAAAGTAATTTGTTAATGCTTTTACACTTTTAAATTTCCTTGTAATGTTCGATGGTTGAAGGGTGATGCACCCAGTGCTTATTATTGCATTCATAGAGCAAACCTTTTGCTGATTGTTTAAGTTACTCCCATAATTTGTGCAAAGCGTCATAAGGCGTAGGGAAAAAATATGGATACTGCTATTTGAATAGTATTTGCACTTAAAATCTTATTTTCTCCTTTGAACAGTGGCAGTCCAAGTGTGTGCAAGTCAATGTATTTACACTAAAACATCTGAAGAAGCTTTAAGATCACAGTTTAAGTACAGTTAAAATAAACCTTTAAATTGAATTCTACTTCCTGAGATTGTTCATGCATGCACTGTTTAGCAATCCACCACCATTGCCATGCAGTAACTTTGCTAATGCAACACAGCCTTATAAACAAACAATAATGCAGCAAGCAAAAAAGTGCATTGAACAATTGAACATCTATGCATGCATTGACTTATTTACCATTAGTGCAATGCTGAAGGTGCTTAGATTCTGTCGTTTATTAATAGAAAATCACATAGTGGTAAAGATTCTTTGTTTAGGCTTCCGCTGTCGCCAGCAGAGAGAAAGCAGCAAACAGTAAATCACAATGACAAAGCCAAATTGCTAATTACATCCGCACAAATTAAGAACAGAACTAGCCAGATTCACTTTAGAAGAACACAAATCATAGAGAGAGAGAGAGAGTACAGTGTGCTTAAAATGTACAGGCGACCTGTCAGATATCTGAGTTTGCAAGGTTTTTCGCTGGGAACTTTACAAAAAAGTCACTATTTTGGTTTGCTGCATGGCAAAAACAACGCAACTGGAATCTTACAGGCAAATGCTCGGTATACCGTAATGTTAAGTGAAATAAAACTAATGGTTTTGTGATTCGCTTTGATGAGAAACTTACATTAGCATTTTGCTGACCTTTAACTTATGATAATATAAACTATCGGCGTTATCGATTGGGAAAGAGAACAACACTGCAAATTGTTGGGCAGTTCATTTCATTTGTTTGCAGGAAAAAAAGAGTTTAATATTAAAGGACGTTCCTGTTTTCACTTTCCTCTGGGCTGTTATTGAAAAAAAAAAACGTTGAGTTTACAAACATGTAATAAAGAGAATTTCTAGGGAACTGATATTTTCACCTTTTACAAACATTTTGAGGTAACAGTACAGTATTTCAAAATATAAAAGAAATGAGATATTACAAGAGGCTTCATTTCTTAAAGGGGTCATATTTGGTGTAACAGAATATGTTGACATGCTTTAAAGGTAAAAAAACACATTATTTTTCAAATACTGTACATTATTGTAGGTCCTCTATGCGAAAATAAGAAAATAAGCCAAACTAGGTTAAATGAACATGAACTTTGGTACTGAAAACTTAAAAAAGGAAGTCAAGGTGAAAATACTTGACAAAAAGTTTTCCGATTGAAAAATCTGTAAAACGCATGCATGCAGAAGACATCACAGAACATCTTTACTATAGCTCTGTTGTAAAGTCTGGAGAGAACAGTGAGGCATATAAATATATATCTATACGGTATGTGTTTGTGTTTGCTGGAATGTGTGTCTCCAGGCTCAGCAACATTTCCATGATGAGGTGACACAGGCCACACATCTCTAATGAGAGCTTTTGTTTGTGTAAAACCCTCATTTCCCCCGCTGGGTGTGTGTGTGTGTGAGAGAGAGAGAGTGTGTGTGTGTGTGTGTGTGTGTGTGCGTGTGCGTGTGCGTGT